CAAAAGCAAAATTCCAAGTGAAAAGTTTTAATAATTTCATGTCACTCAACAGTTGGGTAGCTGGCTTCAAATGTAGTAAAAAGTTTCGAACAGGTGAAAAAGTAGCAAGCTATTTCTGATGGAGTTGGAGGCACAGTATCCTCTCCAATTAAGACCTCTGGCAATCTCAATTGTTTATTTTATAAAATAGGCAGTCTAATCTTTTAATATCAATAAGAACAGATTTCTTCACTGTTGCTATAACTCAGTTGAAATTCTACCAATAGAAGATTTGTGTCGACAACTTCAATAAGTGTGTATGAAAGCTGCTGATTCTCATTAAGAGACCAATTGTTTCACTAACATCATTCATTTCAGTGAACCTGCCATTCCGAAATGCAACCAGTCCTCATCACATTGTTAATTTTTTTTTAAACTGGCTTCTTTAAGTGCAAGCTGTGCAGCTGCATAAACACTGCTTTGGCCAATAAGACAAGGCAATTATCTGTACTACCCACATCCTAAGAATAAAAGTTACAGGTTAAGAGTTGACAGGAATTAATAACAAGTCAGTTTACCACAAATCCAAAATTCTCTATTCTGAATATCTGTTTTTAATTTCCCATTTACAGGAATCAATTACTGGTTCTTCAACACACAAACTTGCTAAAAGCACTTAAGTGTCATTCATATATATTAAACAAGTGATATATTAAACAAATGTACTATGCTTCAAGGCAAGCAAATTACCACCCACTCCTGTTATATAAATGAAGCACACCTGATCTTTGTGAAGAACAAAACATTCCACCCGCAAACCTGGCACTTAACTTTCAAATTTGAGACACACTAAATTATAAAGACACAAACAAATCATATAGAACAACAACATTCAAATTAAGTACATTCATTACTTTTTCTGATACTTTAAGTTGTTTTGAGATCAAAATAATAAAGCTGTACTCTTCTTTCACTTTTTCCCACTCCACAGTGCTTTAATCGAGATTTAGATTAATATAACACAGTTTAGTTGACGTAGAGATGTCAATGGGTAGGAGACAGAGTAGTACTTCCACTGAACAGGAGACTCAGAGTCTATTTAAAAAGATTCACTACAAATAAGAAAATAACCCTGATGAAAACCACACAGTTTCCCCAGACAAAAATGTGCTAAATGTAGAAGTTACACAATGTAAATCAGTACACAAAATCAATCTAAGTCACCTACTGCAATGCAACCTTCAGGTGTGACTGACAGCAATATTGTCAATTCACTTCCATTCTAGCCACAACTTGTCATAGCATTATATGCAGCCTTAATCTAACCAGGGTCACTAAACCCTATCAAGTTCTATCCTAATGACATTGTTGGTCGATTCACATGACTAGAACACAAACAGCTTCAGATCTTAGCATCAAAAGTGTTCTTTCGTAGAATGAGTGCAAATTGAGATAAACTCCTTAATCCCTGATAGAATAGCCATACCAGCCAATGTCATTGTCTTTTTCATAGCCTGAACAATTAACTAAACAGTTTTAATCACAAACTTAACAACAAATAAAAGGAAAACTGCCTCAATTTTACCTACAAATTCTGTAAGCTAAATGAAAAAAAAAATCTATCAGTAACAGAATCAGTAGTTTATAGCTTTCATTTGAAAATACACAGCACTTTGAACTTAAAACTTTTATGAAAAGGGCACCATAAATAATAACAAAATGAAATAAATCCCCACTGACCAAAAATTGTGAAATGTCTCTCACAAATTTATGTTAAGTCTTCCACGTCAGCTCAAAAAAAATACTATGGTGTTTGGAATTTAAACACAAAAAAAAATGCATTACCACTCAAACTCTGATTGTAAAAACAAACGCCAACAACATAAATACCCAGACTGAGTGCAGCTGCAAATTGTTGGGGAGTGGTGCTATGGGTTTGCCTCCAACAGCTTATTTAACCTGATGTAACAAGGTGTATGATGTCTCTCGAAACATCAGAAACTAGGTGCGGTCACTGTAGTATTGAAGAATCCAACAGACATTATTACAGCCAGTTATGTACATACATTACATTCACAGGCACATCAGGGCCTGTCTGGGCCAACATTAAGCTATTGCATTATAGCATGCTGCCTTTAGCACGTGGTGCTTCAAGTGAACCCAGGTATGATAGAGTATGAGACGTTGATACCCTCAGGTCACAAGCTATAAGGCAGTGATGATACCTTGAGCATATCCCTTAAAGATGTACAGGTAGGCCCCAACTTAAGAACAGGTTCCATTCCTGGAGAACTTTCGGAAGTCGAACTCTATGCAAGTCAGAACACATATGCCAAGACGACATATTTGTACTTTGTAGATACGTATGTAAACAGTAATGTACAGTGGTACCCAAAGTCGGAACACAATATTTAATGCACTGCATAAAACATACATGTACAGGTAAAGAAAACAGTTCTGTTTACACTTGCTTTGAATATTTAGGATGGCTTGCATGCCGCAAGAGTCATTTCTGAGAGATGGGAACTTATTTGGCAAAGATTGAACTGAAGCACTTTTCTTTCTGCAAATTTCCTTTTCATGCTGCAGACACTCACTGACAGCTCTATAGTCCTGGACTCTGAAATGTTCTTTACTGCTTGACAGATGTTATAAGATTTCAAAAATTTCTTTTAAGTTTTTTTTTTACCTCCTCTGTTGGGCCTCACACCTAAAATGCATTGTCTGACATGGGATGTCACCTCTGGTACACGGAGAGAACTGATAAAACCTTTAGTTATCTTGGGCCATTGACTTGAAAGAAATTATGCAATTTGCATACTAATCCTTTGTAACTGATTAAAGATTTAATAGTCATCTTAGGTTTGTCAAACACCGCATCAGTCCTTTGACCCTTTGATCTTTGGCTTATAACTTGTTTCTGATGCTACCTCTCTCACGAACACCTGAAGAAGGAATGAGACTCCGAAAGCTTATGTCTTCAAATAAACCTGTCGGACCATAACCTGGTGTCGTGTGATTTTTAACCTTGCCACCCCAGTCCAACACCGGCACCTCCACAACAAAGCTTTAAGCTAACTGGCATATGATGCAAGTGTTGACCCTCAAGCCAAACAATTTACAGTTTTTCCATTTCCATAATTAATCCACTGTGTCATACAGCACTGAAACAGACCCTTCGGTCCAACTCGTCCATGCTAACCAGATATCCTATATAAATGCAGTCCCATTTGTCAGCATTTGGCCATACCCCTCTAAACCCTTCCTATTCATATGCCCACCCAGATGCCTTTTAAATATTGTAACTGTATCAGCCTCCACCACTTCCTCTGGTAGCTCATTTCATACAGGCACAAACCTCTGCGTGAAGAAATTATCCCTTCGGTCCCTTTTATACCTTTCCCCTCCCACATTAAACCTATGCCCTCTAGTTGTGGACTCCCCCACCCCAGGGAACAGACCTTGGCTACTTACCCTATCTATGCCCCTCATGATTTTATAAACCTCTAGAAGTCACCCCTCAGCCTCAGACACTCCAGGGGAATAGCCCCAGCCTATTCAGCCTCTCCCTGTAGCTCAAACCCTGGCAACATGCTTGTAAATCATTTCTGAACCCTTTTAGTTTAGCAACATTCTTCCTATAGGAGGAAGACCAGAAATGCACACAATTCTCCAAAAAAGTGGTCGAACCAATATCCTGTATAGCTGCAACATGACCTCCCAACTCCAATAAAGGCAAGCATACCAAACGCCTTCCTCACTATCCTGCCTACCTGTGACGCCACTTTCAAGGAACTATGAACCTGCACTCCAAGGTCTCTTTGTTCAGCAACACCCCCCAGCACCTTACCATTAAGTATATAATTCCTGCCCTGATTTGCCTTTCCAAAATTTATCTTATCACATTCATCTAAATTAAACTCTATCTGCCACTCCTCAGCCCATTGGCCCATCTGATCAAGATCCTGTTGTACTCCGAGGTAACCTTCTTCAATACTTATCCAATTTTAGTGTCATCTGCAAACTTATTAACCATACCTCCTATGTTCACATCCAAATCATTTATGTAAATGACAAAAAGCAGTGGACCCAGCACCAAACCTTGTGGCACACCACTGGTCATAGGCCTCCAGTCTGAAAAGCAAATGTCCACCACCACCCTCTTTCTTCTACCTTTGAGCCAGTTCTGTTAGTTCACCCTGTATTCTATGTGATCTAACCTTGTTAACCAGATTACCATGAGGAATCTTGTTGAATGCCTTACTGAAGTCCATATAGATCACATCCACCGCTCTGCCCTCATCAATCCTCTTTGTTACTTCTTCAAAAAATCTCCAAGTTAGTGAGACACGATTTCCCACGCACAACACCATGTTGACTATCCCTAATCAGTCCTTGTCTTTATGTAAATCCTGTCAGAATCCTCAGGATTCCCTCTAACAATCTGCCCACCACCAATATCAGGCTCACTGGTCTAGAGTTCCCTGCCTTTTCCTTACCACCTTTCTTAAATAGACCTTTGCTTAGTAATTATTGTAGCCTTCACCATTGCCGAATCCTTCACATATTCCAGAATACACACTTTGTCTTATAGAATAGTTCTAACTGTGGAACAGCTAAGGCCTAATTCTTTTCCAATGTTTGCCTTTTACAGAGTATTTGATTATGTAAACTTTCACCTCAATTGTGATGGGTTTTGTGTTTCTTCGGTGCACTATCAGCACTGGTGTCAGATGTGCATTTAGTCAGCATGATAACTACTGCATGTAATAAAAATGATGCTGTACATTTTACTGGCATTTGCATGGTTTCTCCATTCTTAAGAATGAACAAACATTTGCCCACAGGATCCTGCATCTTATGGAATCCCATTCATAAATCGGCGCAGCCTATATTGACATACTGATCAAAATACATACCACAACAAATAAAATACAGTTTGTTGACTTTGCTTGAACCAGATGTTATTTTGTTTGGAAGCATTGCCAAACCCACATAATATAAAATTAGTTGTTATGTACCTGATAATCCTGTATTGGCTTGTTTTGGACATTTACTGTGTTGGCTCGTGTCAAATCCACAAAGAGTTCTGCTACATTATGCAGATTAACTTCAGCTAAAGGAGAAGAAGCTGGTGCACAGAATAGGGTCTTCAAAGTAGGCAGGAAAGCTTCTTGAAAACATTCTTGATTTTTCCTAAGAAACAAGTTTTCCACAATATAAAACAGCTGTTCTGTTTCATTTTAATGAGCAGCATTTGCCTTCTAAATTTTTACAGTCACTAAATAAAAAATGTAATTGAAAAGAAAAGACCAAAGGAATTTGTGACTGGCGGAAGAAAGAAATAAACAGCACCTGCTGTCTTAAAAAAATGGAATTATGAATGTCACCTGAAATTAGTCAACTAATGTCGAGTCCAGAAAACTGGAAGTGCCTAATGGAAAGATGAGCTTCAGTGCAACAATGTAGGAGGGAGTATAGAGCAGGAGTGGACAGAAAATTAAATTGGCAAGTGGTCAGAATCTCGGTGACAAGCCAGCAGAACGAACAGAGATGTTCAACAAAATGATCATCCAACTTGGATTTGGTCTGCCCTCATCATGAGCAGTAAATACACAGTTCACTACATTTAAAAGATGTATCGTCATTCTTCCGTGTGCGCGAGGATTCCGTTCCTGAGAACCCCCACGAATAATGAAATTCATGAGTGCAGAGCTTGTTAGAAATCCAGGTTAAAAATCATGGATATGCAATTTTGCCAATGGATGTTGGAATTTTGTTGCAGACAGGCAAACTTGCAAGTCGTGATCTTGTGGATAGGGAGGATCAACTAGACCTGCAAACTGATGTTTTACCTAGAAAAATGTTTGGAGTGTTGGATAGCAGAAAGGAAGGAGGTGAATAAGCATGTTTTCTGTGCTTGCACGAGGAGCGAAGGCGAGCAGGTATTAGGGATGACAAGAGTAGGCTCGGGTGTCACAAAGGAAATGGTTCTTTCAGAATACAGATAAGAGAGGAAGCTGTGTTGGGTGGTGGCATCATGCTAGAGGTGGTAGATATGTTACAAGATGCAATGTTGAATGTGGAGGTACTGGTGGAAGGGAAAGACATCAGGAACCATATATTCTGAGAGTTAACTCATAGGGTGAGAGCAGAAGCGCGTGAAGTAGATGGATATTTTTAATTACAAAGTGAAAAGACCTGGTAAGCTTTCAGAAAAAAGGTATTGTTACAGAACGACCGTCAAATTTCTCCGACTTCTGCATTTTTTTAATATCTAATCCAAAAGCAGAATGACTTTTGTCTATAAATCGTGCAAGATACCCAAATCAATGCTGTGATTCAATTCAGCAATTTGATACTATTCATTATATGACGTAACCCACACCTCTGATGTTATGTCTCCATCAATGTTTTACAATTTCCCTCACCTTCAACAGAAGTTCAGCTTTCAGTTTTATGGAGCTACTAAAAATTTAGGAACATTTAAAAACTTAGTTCAACAAGATATAGAGTACAAACCTGTTCATAAATGCATAGAGTGGAAAGAAAACCCCCAGGCAATGACGAAGAAAGGTATCGTCTTCAGTCACAGGATTGTACCATAACAAAATAAGTCGAGAAAGAATTTTAGGACTAGAAAGTCTTCCAGAACAAAGCAGTTTAGCGAGGCCTTCTGCGGCAACAGTCCTAAGGTCTATTACCTGGAAATAAAAGCAAATTTTATTTGCATTAACAAAATTACATGCACTAGGAAGAGGGAATGAGTGGCAAACAAGAAAACAATTGTCAAAGGGGGTGCTAAAGAGGATGGAAAGAGAAGAGCAAAGGGTCAAGAGAACAGGGAAGGGGAAGGAAAGAACAGGTCAAGATGCAAAGATGGATTGGGAAGGTACAATGGAGGAAATGGATGCAAGTTGGGGAGAGGGAGAGAGCACAAATGCTCAAGGACCTGGATGCAAACAGCAGAGAATGACATTTATTTTGTGATCCACATGGAAAATGCAGTCAGTGACATCTCTTTATCCACACTAAGCGTAACAGTTCACTCAAAAGCAAAGAAAATGATAAAGAATACTGACTTTCCATTTCCACAACTTCCTGTTCACATGCCTGTCCATTTCCATTTACACAAATCTGTAAATTTGTGTATCCCTAATTCAATTTATCTGCTTCTGAAACACTCATCAAAACTGATGACCAGTATTACTTCTATGTTCAAAGAGAAACAACATCCTGCGAATAAAGGGGATATATCCAATTGTAGCTCTGGGTGGCTCAGAAAAAGCTTTGCAAGTAATGATCAGCATATTGTTGGATTTTTTTTTGGCCTTTCTCTTTCCACTGCACATGCTTTATCCCCGTGTCTTTGGAAATAAGTTTTAAGCCGATGGAATGCTGCCTTTTTGAAATGTATCCCTGATTTGTTGCATCAGGCAAAGCAAGCTGCCTATCTTCATTCCAGGTGGTCATATATTTGAGTATATTTTCTATCAAATCAATCTTGGTGATGACAATGCTCAAACCCAATGGTTTGGGCACAGGTATCTAGTACAGTTGACTTTGTCAGACTGCTCTGGAACTGAGGACAACATGTGAAAACACATATCTCCTCAATCCTGCCTAGTAAACAAAATAAAACAATACCTCGAAAGTGGGAAACCCCAAGAGGAGAAACCTGTAGTCCCTCCAAATTATCTTTGAGTTCACCCGAGAACCAAGCTCCTGGAAATGTGACCACAAGAAACCGGAGAGCTGGGAAAGTCCTTCACCTTGTCAGCTACTCACTTCAACTTTAAAGCATCAACCTAATTTAAGTAACCTACAGGCCTGACACAAAAGACACAAAGATAGCTTTAAGATGTAACAATATATTACATTAATTTGTATCTAACCTTGAATGCAAGAGACATAAGCAAGTGAAATGCTGCTTTATTTTAATGGGAATAAATAAATTTCTTCACTTTGAAAGTCAAAAAACTTGATGCTAGAACAATTTAATTGGGACAGAGAGAACAAGAAAATTCATACATTTTCACATACGAGTACCACTGATCAGGAACAGTATTCTAACTTGTATCAAATCCTAGTCAACTACTGTCCTGTTCTTGCTGACTTAAATTTGCTCCCAGTCCCTTAAATTATCCAATTTAAAAATTGTTATTCTCATGTTTTAAATTACTATCTTTGAAACATCATCCAGCCCTCTACCCCTTCATAGAAACGTAGAAATACAGAAAATAAGATTAGGGGTATGCCATTCAGCCGATCAAGCCAACTTCTACCATTCAGCACAGTCATAGTTGATCCTCTATCTCAACACCATACTCCTGATCATTCTCCACACCCTTCAACACCGTTAGGCTCTAGCAATCTTTTCTTTCTTAAACATATTCAGTGACTTGGCCTCCACAGCCTTGTGGTAGAAAATTCCACAGGCTCACCACCTTCTACAGACGAAGGGGATGGTAATGTTTTAATGCTCTTCCACACACAGCAGTAGATGCTGGATCAGTTGCTAATTTTAAATCTGAGATAGATAAACTTTTGTTAAGCAAAGGTATTAAGGGATATGGGCCAAAGGTATATAGAGTTAGGCCACAGATCAGCCATGATCTCACTGAATGGTTGAACAGGCTTGAAGGGTTGAATGACCCAATCTTGCTCCTATGTTCTTGAGTGAAGAAGTTTCTCATCCCTCACTGGTATTTTATGCGCACACTGCCAAACCTGCCTATTCTGCATTTGGTAGCCACCTATTTCAGGCTCCATCTTCTACAATTCCTTGCCTAAGTGTACCTCTTGCATGGCCACTCTGATCTTTCTTAAAACTATTTTACCTAAACTTTTAGACTCAAAAGACATGACAAAAATGTGAAAGCTTCAAATAGTGCTTATAAGGAATGCCCACAGAAGTAAGATTTTGCTTACATATAGATACACCAAAACAATTCTCAGCAACATAATTGCTACCACTGCTCTTGCATAATGACATTCCCACACCAAATGCTCAGAAGCCTCCAAAAGCACTTCAAAAAGCTACTAATGCATACCTCATTGTCCAAGTATCCCAAAAGCAATGTAAGGATACTATTGACTGTGTCAGTTTCCACCACAGGCTCGGCTGATTCTTCATGTATTGATTTTTCAATTCCACTCCCAAATTCTTCATTTTGCATTTCACGGGATTTATGAGGACTAGATTTGAAAGCCTCAATCCCAAATACTTGCAGAATGTCAAATACTGCCCGCAGTGCACTAATTTTCACATTGATCATATCGAGTTGAGCAATCTATAATATAAAAGAAACTATGTCATTATTTCTTTGGAGAATGGGCTTGGATTTACACATCCTGACATGATACATCCACAATGAGCAGGCAGAAGGAGAGGTCAGTAATGGATTCTGGGATTCTTACCTCCATTTCTATCGTTGTCAACTTTTAGCAGTGTAGGAAACAAGTGGCTTGTGAGCCACATGCACCACTTCAACTTCCATTGCAGGGATGGGCATTTTATACTCCCAGCACCTTTGATGGAGTTAGCGAAATTCAAAAGGTAACAATGGTTCATCCTAGCTCAGAACAGTTCTGACTAACAGGAGAACCCTAGTCTGAAGTCAGGAACCTTTTAACATTCAAGTTCACAATGTCTTGACAACGTCACATTATGATGTCATGCTGTATGGATTAAATATGTTTTAAATTCAATGATTATGAACCAAACAATTATAAATTATCTCACAACTTAACCTTTTTATGTCAAATGACAGCTCAGACTTTGGTTCCCTTGTTTTGAAGCTTGAGCTAGTTGATCAGTAGCTCAGATAGGATTCCCTGCAATAAAGCTTGATCAGGTGGCTGAGCTCTTTTAATGGCTTCAAAGTTTTTAAGTATTTGGTTATAGTGGTTTGGTTTACACAGCTATGTAATCTAATGCCGCTATGAATGCCTGGCTAAGCTCCAAACCCCATCAATAAATTCAGCTCAGCAGGTGTTGTCAACACGGTTACCAAGGGTACTCTGGGTTGATTCATCTTGAAAATTTCAGATTATATAATAGGTTAATGCTTTTAGAAATGGTTATTGAATGGACATTTTGTTTGTTTATCTTGACAATTTTATGGGCCTCTCAAAAGTCTTCCCAAGAGTTCTGTACATTGAGGATACTAGGTGAATGGGCATGGTGGAGGGCAAGTAGGAAGGAGAGACATGGCGGTAGAATGGAGGGATAAGAGTTAGGAGTCCTCACTGCAGAAGAGTCCCAGCAAACAGAGGTGGGCCTTCTAATCAGTCCATTTCATCAGCCCATCAGTCAGACATCAACTCTATGTCAATGCCCTTGTGAAAATTCCAATGAATGACACTTCCCGGGGCAGATTCAAAACATAGAAACAGTACTGACTTTTGTTTCCTGTCTCCACCGAAAATAAAAATGTAATAACAAGAATCTACTCGTGAGGTAAACCTCATATTCCATCTCAGTTCTACCCAATATGTGCTTCCAAATCCAACAAGCACCATTAAAAATCTATGCAGTATGACAGATTCAAGATTGTTATGGAAAAGGACAAGGATGGGCCTGAAAGCAAAGTTCTAACCTGTTTATGACGTTGGTTAGGCCACAATTAGAGTATCGTATACAGTTTTGAAATGCACATTGCAGGATCATGATTCAGATGTATAAAATTATGAGGGGCATAACAGGAAGAAACTTTTCTCCTTGGTGGAGGAGTCAATGGCCAGGGGCATAGATTACAGGTAATAGACAGAAGATTTAGAAGAAATGTGAGGAAAGTTTTTTTCACTCATGATGTGTTGAGAATCTGGAACTCACTGCCTGTGAGGGTGGTACAGGCAGAAACCTTCATAACATTTGAGAAGTATTCAGAAGTGCACTTGCGAAAGAAGACTATGGGCCAAATGCTAGAAAGTGGGATTAAAATAGTTGGGTGGATGTTTTCGACCAGCAGGATTTGATGGGCTGAAGGGTCTTTTTCAATGCTGCAGACATTTTTGATTCTATGACTGTAAAAATTTATTCCAACATCACTGAACTAAAAAGGTCCATGATATATCTTCAATAACCTACCAACTCCCAAAGCCTCCTTTCCCAGCCCAATCCCCCAAAAACCATTCAAACAAATATACTTCTTCACACCATACTTTTGGTAATGGTTTTCCTGTACTTTTAATCTCTGAAGGAAATGCACCAGGTACCCATAGCAATGTTAAGTGAACAGTCCTGAAATTCTATTTACAAATGCCATGCACCTGTAAGAATTGAAGTGAAGGACTTTTGACCGGCCTACCTGTAACAGCAATGGCAGGTGTTGAATCGCAAAATCTTTGTTATGCAACGCGGATGAGCCCAGACACAAGACTGCCATGTTTCTCACCGCAGGATTGACACTGGCAATGCTTGGCAGTATCTAAAACCACAGAAATAGAGTACATACATTGGAAAGAAAACAAATGTTTACTGTGAAGTGCAATGTTACATAATAACTTACATAATGAAAAGCATCTACAATTACTTAATAAAGGAATATAGTCGTGGGAGAGTCAGTTACATTTTAACATTGGATATTAATAAAATTAGCATTGCCATGTGTCTAATACAATTCAAAACTTTAATATGCTTCTTCCTACCAAACAGAATCTTACACCTCTCCCTGTACTTAGCTCTTCTAGTTATTTTACTTTGCTTTCTAATTATATAGCAACTTGTGACTCAAACGTAACTCATGACAGCACACTTGGGAATTTGTTCACTGAATGAATTCGGTGCAGTGAGGGAGGTGGTGCTATTCTGATCTTTTAAATAAGGGAGCCAGAGACGACCAGTAGGATAAGAGTGCTATGGCACAAGGTAGGTGAGTAGTTGGTCAGCTTAAAGTTTTTTCCTTTCTCCAAGCAAGCAATAATGTGGAGATAAGTATTCTATTAAATTTACAGCTTGAGCAATTAAACTGTGAACTAACAACAGATAATCTCAAATGACGCTTCTAAGCCTATTTGCTAAATAAAGTAATAATGATGGCAGAGCAGGTGACATGTTACTTCTTCATAAATTCTCTTTGTTATTTCATCAAAAAACTCAAATCACATTAGTGAGACATGATTTCCCACGCACAAAACCATGTTGACTATCCCTATTCAGTCCTTGCCTTTCCAAATACATGTAAATCCTGTCCCTCAGGGTTCCCTCCAACAATCTGCCACCACCGATGTCAGGCTCACCGGTCTATAGTTCTCTGGCTCTTCCTTACCACTTTCTTAAATAGTGGCACCAGATTAGGCAACGTCCAGTCTTCCAGCACCTCACTTGTGGCTATTGACGGTACAAATACCTCAGCAAGGGGTCTAGCAATCACTTCCCTAGCTTCCCACAGAGTTCTAGAGTACATCTGATAGGTCCCAGGGATTTATCCACCTTTATGTGTTTTAAGACGTCCAGTACTACCTCCTCTGTAATATGGACATTTTTCAAGATGTCACTATTTATTTTGCCACATTCTCTATCTTCCATAACTCCAAAGAGGATTGATGAGGGCAGAGCAGTGGACATGATCTATATACACTTCAGTAAGGCGTTCGACAAGGTTCCTCATGCTAGACTGGTTAGTAAAGTTAAATCACATGGAATACAGGGAAATCTAACATTTGGATACATAACTAGGAGACAGACGGTGGTGGTGGAGGGTTATTTTTCAGTCTGGAGGCCTGTAACCAGTGGTGTGCCACAAGGATCAATGCTGGGTCATTCTATATAAATGATTTGGATGTGAACATAGGAGGTATGGTTAGTAAGATTGCAGATGACACCAAAATTGGAGGTGCAGTAGACAGCAAAGAAGATTACCCAGAGTACAATAGGATCTTGATCAGATGGGCCAATGGACCAAGGATTAACAGATGGAGTTTAATTTAGATAAATGTGAGGTTCTGCATCTTCGAATGGTAAATCAGGGCAGGACTTATACACATGAAGGTAAGCTCCTGGGGAGTGTCACTGAACAAAGAGACCTTGAGTGCAGGTTCATAATTCCTTGAAAGGGGACTCACAGGTAAATAGGATAATGAAAAAGGTGTTCGGTATGCTTGCCTTTATTGTTCAGTGCATCGAGTATAGGAGTTGGGAGGTCATGTTAATGTTGTACAGGACATTGGTTAGGCCACTGTTGGAATACTGCATTCAGTTCTGGTGTCTCTGCTATAGGAAGTATGTTGTGAAACATGAAAGGGTTCAAAAAAGATTTATAAGATGTTGACAGGGTTGAAGGGCTGGTGCTGTAGAGAGAGGCTGGATAGGCTGGGGCTGTTTTCCCTGGACTGTTGGAGGCTGAGGGGTGACCTTATAGTGGCTTATAAAATCGTGAGGGGCATGGAAACGGTGAATAGACAACATCTTTCCCCTGGGGTGGGCGAGTGCAAAACTAGATGGCATAGGTTTAAGGTGAGAGGGGAAAAGATTCAAAAGGGACCTAAGGGGCAACTTTTTCATGCAGAGGATGGTTTGTGTATGGAATGAGCTACCAGAGGAAGTGGAAAAGGCTGGTACATTTACAACATTTAAAAGGCATCTGGAATAGGAAGGATTTAGAGGGACATGGGCCAAATGCTGGCAAATGGGACTGGAAATATTTAGGATATCTTGCAGCTTATGTGGACAAGAGCAGGGATGCAGGGAAGATAAGCAAACTGACAGCAGCACCATGATGCAGGGTGCCATTCAGGGGATGGGAGGTGTGGGGGCAGGTAAAAGGGATGTATCTGTAATAGAGGACAGAGTTAGGGGATGCTATTCCCCATAGCAGAGAGCAAAGGATCTCTCTTCTTTGGATAGACAATAAAAAGACAACAAAGCATTTCACCGAGGCGGCATCATTGACTATTTTTAAGGCAGAGATAGACAGATTCTTGTTAGGCATTGGAATCAAAGGGTTATCGAACAGAATAGATCGAAAAGGTGTAATTCAAAACAAACAAGTTAGTCATCATCTTGTTGAATAACAGAGCAGGTTCAAGGGGGTGAACGGCCTATTACTGCTCCTAATTCATTTGTAATTAGAATATTAGAAAGAAAATAATGACTAAAAAGATTAGTAAGGACGGAAGCATTAGAGTTTAGGACAATGCCAGAAAGACATATAAAATCATATAATAAAAGTTTAGGATACAAATAATATCCCAGAAACAGATGTGAATCAGGAAATGGAAGGGAGAGAAGTGGTACAGAGCAAACTGTTAGAGCCGAGATACTGAGGGGTTAGACATAATACGGCTTAAAAAAAAATTGGTGGGAGTTTGGTGAGGAAGGAGGGAGACATTCCTTTGCTTTTATTTTTCAAACTTCTTTACTCTGTACGAGTTGGTTGTTACTCTTACCATTACGGTAATAACTTATAGACACAGAAGAAGCTGATTGAGAAGTAAAGGTGAGTAATTCTACTTTCTAACTCTAATCTCCAGTTTACAGCAAGTGGCTCAGAAAAAGCTTGAAATATGGCATGGCAGCTTGGCCATTGCAAAGCTCAGGCTGTGGCACATTGGAAGGTGCATTCAGTCATCTGACAAAAACAATCAATTGTGCTGGGAGTGTCACTGGCTGCAGAAACTTGAACTTCAGCTACTGCTCAAGTTTTGAAACCTGAAGTCCCGATGGTGCATTTGCGAGAAAGAGTACTATGCAAGTAACATGTTTAGGGAGGTGGTCACTCAGTGGGATTGGAGCATGCATGAAAATAGGGATTCTACTCAAATACAAGAATGGGGCAAATTTCTTTTCTGGCTGTTATCAAAATCTAGAGTTGACAAAGGACAACGGACTTCACTAGATTATCTCACATGTGAATGCCTGACTAGTAATTACACTTCAGAAACTATTACCTCAAGTACGATTCAAGGGCCCTCATGACAGCAAGCCATGCGTTACATGCTATTTCACTAAAGTAGTAATGCTAGAGTGATTCAAAACTAGCACTGGCTGCAACTAACATCAACTCCAGCATATCTGAAGAACTAGAGAACTTGTATTTATACAACATCTGTCATGTCCTCAGGATGTTCCAACATGCTTTGCAGATAGTTACGTTTATGACATAATCACTATTCTTCTGTAGACTAATACTTTGAACAACTGCCACACAGAACAGTTGCACAAACAAGAATAGAGAACAACGACCAATTGATTTATTCTTTTCATGCGCAGTTAAGGGAAAAATGTGAACCATAACAACAAGAAATCTACTTCTTCTTCAAGAGTAAAAAGGGAATTTCTATTTATCTACGATTTCGCCACCAACTTTGAGCTAGGATGGCACTTTAAGTAAAAGCCATAAGATGTTCACAACCACAAGCATCAGTTTTGCATGTAATCTAATATGCAATGCTGCCTCTGTATTACAATAAAAAGAGTCCATATTATATAGAGTCTAAGTCCTGGAGCTGGACCGTCTGTTTCAAGAGACAAGCCTATCTGGCAGACATCTTGATTATCTCACACGAGAAGAAGTCCAGAATCTATAGTCTATAATCTTTTCATAATTTCGGAGATTTAAAAGTTATTCAGCAAAACGTGAGCTTTTCCTGGCCTGTTGGCTAATGCACCCATAATTTCATTAAATGAAAATGCATTCACTTCAGGGATTCTCAAACTGTATTTAACTAAGGTCACAGTAACAGCAAATGGGATCATGAGAAATAAAATTGTATGAATTTCCCACCTGCCTCGAGTGGTCCAAACAGTGAGAAGTAACTAATCCCAAGTTAAGTTTCCTACAGTGGGCACTTCAAATGTATGTGGCAGCTCGAACCTGGATTTGGTTTGATAAAAATACAATCACCTCAATGAGCAGCAGTGAGGGAGGCAGATGCGCAATTAGTGAGTAATTACAGGCCAGTCACCAAGATGTATCATCACAAATTTGCGTTTTCATTTTTTGTTCATTTTCCAGTGATAAAATGGGGTATTCATGTTGAAAAGTAGTTTGGGAAGCACTGCTTTTGACTCATTACAGATATCACATCCATGTATTATCAAACTACTTCAAGAAAATCATTAACAGCAATAAAAGTAGAAATTGCTGGAAAAGCTCAGCAGGTCTGGCAGCATCCATAGAGAGAAATCAGAGTTAATGTTTCAGGTCAAGTGACCCTTCCTCAGAACTCAACTACTTTCTTCTTGGGTAAGATAGTCAAGATGTTTGCCAGATAGGCTTGTCTCTCTCGCCTCTGGAAACAGAAGGCCTAACTCCGGGACTTAGACTCTATATAGTATGGACTCCTTGTTGTAATATAGACAGCACTGCATATTAGATTACATGCAAAACTGATGCCTATGGATGTGAAGATCGGTCCTCTCAATTTAGGAGCTGTCTCAATATTGGATGAAACTCAGCAGAGGAAAGGCAAACAGATAGATCAAATTGAACTACCCTACACAAGGGGATAGTAAATAGATGCCTGTCCAAAGACTGATCCAAGCTGATATCAGACATCTTCAAAGAAAGAGTTGGACAGGCATTTAGCATGAAAATTAAATCGAAGAGAAGTAGTAGTAAACTGCATATACTGCTTTGATCAAGAAAAACCAAAATGGTCTTTTCAGTCCTGTACATTTACATGTTCCTTCAATGCTACCTCATCTGTGCCAATGAAATATGATGTCACACTGAAACACAAAAATTCTCAGTTGCCAGGAAAGTGTTCACTAATACATTATTGTGTGTACCTAGAGAGACCTCCTTTAAAAAGGAATGAGAATCAGAATTGCAAAAAAAAACTTTTGTTGCTATATTTGTTCAGCTGTCTTAAAAATTGCTTTATACTCTTACTGAAGAACAGCAAATACAATTGATGAGGTTCACACGAAAAGAAAGGAACTAAGTATAACCATATGCAGCCTTCGATGGGCAGAGCAAGATAAAGTTATGGTACTTCTCAAAGACAGACCACCTTGCTGGCAATGTCATGTTTGGTGTCTAGGCAGCAAAGTAATAGTGACTGAGTTTTCATAGAATCCCTACAGTGTGAAAACAGGCCCTTCGGCCCAACAAGTTCACCACTGACCCTCAGAGTATCCTACCCAGACCCATCCCCCTATAACCCACCTAATCTACACATCCCTGAACACTATGGGTAATTTAGCACGGCCAATCCACCTAGCCTGCACAACTTTGGACTGTGGGAGGAAACCGGAGCACCCGGAGGAAACCAATGCTGACACAGGGAGAATGTGCAAACTCCACCCAAACAGTCGCCCAAGGGTGGAATTGAACCCGGTTCCCTGGCGAAGTGAGACAGCAGTGCTAACCACTGAGCCACCGTGCGGTTTTCCTGTTTAAACTTTCAGTGCTAAAAACAGCAGTTTCAAATCTGCTGAATCAATTTCAAACCAGAATAAAAATTTCTAGTAAACAAAAATTTGAAAGATAAAATAGATGAATGGAAAATGGATGTAACGTTGTGCATAAAGTTCCCCAGTTCCATCACTAACCTGGGCCCCAACTTCATTCCCAATCACCTCTTCCATTCTCCATTCAGTACATAATGTGGCAAACTAGGGTATAAATGGTTGGGTACCCCAAAATGAGGGTCAAAATGTGTTTCCTATCATAAAAACAAAATTAAAGCCATTTCATTTACATTAACATAGATTTATAAACTAGATAAAAGTAAATAAACCAAATAGTAAATATGTCAGCCATACCAAAGCCTCTGTTATTCCATTCATAGTTGGACCTATTCCTTTTGTAACAGCCATCTGTTTGAGAAGCTCATAGCACATGATCAGACATTTTAACATAGTTTCAGGATCATCCTGTTACATTGAAAGAAAAAAAAACACGTTAAAATATATCAGTCAAAAGATAAACAACCTTTTAAATTTGACCTGAAATTGTCACCATACTGCAAACATTAATAAACTTTTCACCACTGCCTTGACTTAGTCAAGAAAATATAACAATATAATAGTAACGTAACTGCATTAGTAATGCAGAGGCTCAGGCTAATGCTTGGAGAACAGGTTCAAATACCTCCACAGCAGCTGGTGGAATTTAAAATCCAATTAATGATTAAATCTGAAATTGGAAAACAGTCCCAGTGATGATAGTCATGGTGCTGTAATCAACTGTTGCAAAAACCAAGCCAGTTCATTCAAGTCCTTCAGGGGATATCTGCTGGTGAATAACTAGGCTGTCCCTGGCCACAAGAGATCAACATCAATGTGTTTGACTCTTAAAGGACCACTGGAATGGCTTTATAAGTGACTGAATTGTCCCAATCCACCAAAGAAAATTTATACCAGATGGATCATACCAGTTGATTACAGGGCGACACGGTGGCACAGTGGTTAGCACTGTTGCCTTACAGCGCCAGTTTGATTCCAGCCTCGGGCGACTGTCTGTGTGGAGTATGCACATTCTCCCCATGTCTGCGTGGGTTTCCTCCGGGTGCTCCAGTTTCCTTCCACAGTCCAAAAATGTGCAGGCGAGGTGGATTGGCCACGCTAAATTAACCATAGTGTGCAGGGATGTGTAGATTAGGTGGGACGCTTTGAGGATCGGTGTGGACTTCTTGGGCCGAAGGGCCTGTTCCCACACTGTAGGAATTCTATGGAATGCACCAGTTCAAAGCAGCTCACAACCACCTTCAAGAAAGGGATTGTCAACAAATGCTGGCCTTGCCAGCAACAGCCACATCCCAGAAAAGAATAGATAAAATTATCAGGTGTTTAGTTTAGCCAGTTAAACGTTATTTGTTTCATAAGCTATTCATTATTCTACAAAACTATTTTCTCATTCTATTTAGATAAATAATGTATTTTTCTATTAAAATAAAGTAGCAAAACTTTACAAAAGTTGATAATGTAATGGATCACACGAATTTCACCGATGAAATTCAGCTTTGAAAATAGCTCAGTGAGGGAATTAAATTTCTCAAGGATCACAAGAGTGAAAAATGTTTGGGTTTGATGTTACAAGAATTACACAGTGCACCATTAGGTAGTAGCTCCTTTTATAACAGTTAATAAAAAATATCTGATGTAGAAACTGCAAAAATTCATGTTATTACAGGAGGCAGGGACACAGGGAACATGAACAAAGGGTGGTTTTAAATGACATGGCCTACACCTGACCTGGAAATGTTTAGCACAAGATACCTATAGTACAAAAAAAGTGTTCTAGACTAAAAACTAACATGATTACTTGATGAGTGATTTTCTTACTGTTGATAAATTATAGAATTTTTGGGGGATTACAGTAATTCATTTTTAACCAAAAGAACATCTGTACTTGTGGGGTTGGGCAGGGAGATACTGTGAAAGGAGTGAAATATTGTATAATTCACTAATTAAAATTATAATATTATAAAGCCAACAACTATACTGCATGCAGATATTTACACCTACTTTACAAGCTTCATAATAACTATAGTTTGTTATTAAAATATACTTTATCTTTACAAAGAATTACCTTTTCAATGTAAACTTCTTTGCACTCAGGTTGTTCAATTGCTTTTATCATCTCAATTTTGCAATTTTCTAATTCTTCAATTTTCTGCTTCAGCACCGAAGCATGAATGAAGTCCTGCCGAGTTATACTGTCCTCCAGTGCTTGTTTTGCTTCTACAAGTTGAACTTTGATATTGGCAAGCTGCAAAACGGTAGAAAGGAAAATGATTGTATGTGACTCAACGTTGTTCCAGCATTCACATTGATGTAGTGATTGCCATTAAGTATTTTCATGACAACGTTATTTCAATTAAACTGCCTTATAAGTACTTCTGTAGTCCTCAATTCTAATGTGTTGAAGTTGTATTTGCATTCAGAAAAGCAATAATGACTATACTGGTTATAAGTTTGTAATGTGAAAGCAATTGAAGTTAAAGTATTCTATTAGAGAAATACATTTAGAAGCAAATTTGATTGTACAGAATTAAATCAGGATAAATCAGCCATTGTATACAAGATACACTACTATAACACACAAACCTCCTTATATAATGCCTTACAACTTGTGACTTTTACCTTCCAAAAGTAGAAGGGCAGCTGACGAATGGGAACAATACCAATCAGATGCTTCCCTCCAAAGGACACACCACCCTGTCTTGGAACTCAGTTGCCGCTCCTTCACTGTTGCTGAATCAAGATTTTGGACCATCCTTTCCGAGAGCACAATGGGTATATCTGCACCAGATGGACTGCAGCAGTTCAAGGCAGCTGCTCACCATCACCTTCTCTCGTTTTTCCTTTTCTTCATACTCCGAACTGTGCGACCTTCCCACTACCAAAATCACTGACTTTTTTGCTTTTTTAAAAAAATAGCCACCACCAGTAAATACATCCAATATTCACAAGCAAAGCCCAATATGCACCATGCAAACCATGGGCACATATGCGAGTATTCCTCATGGTGTTCACCTCTCCCTAAAGGCAGCAAGAGCATTGATGGACACCATGCTTCCTCTCCAATGACTCCCGGGCACGAACTTAAAGCAGAAAAGGGGCAGACAGTCGGTACGTATAACCCCCTCCACAGCCTGCTGCCTGGACCTGTTTATAGCCAGTGTGGTCAGGAGCAGTTCGGCGAGAAGGTCCTCCAATCTGTCTACCATCACCATCTCACATGCAATTAGAGATAAGCAAAAAATTGCCAGCAATTTCCACATACCAAGAAAGAGCAAAGAAAACATGCAGCTCGTCAAATCTATCATGGCTCCTTGCTGGAACCATCCAAAACTGACTTGACTGCTATATTGCCTAGTCCAAGTTGTATTTTTCTGAGGTTCAAATCTAAATTTTCTTCCCTTAAAAGACACTCGCTGCCTCAACTCCTCCTTGGTGCTAAATTCCTAATGTTGTGGAAACCCAAGTAAAAACATTTCTCCCGATCCTCTGACAAGAATTTTAAATTAATGACATGATTTTACTCTTACTTATTATGTTCCCCGCTAATGTTAATACTAGACAAGTCAGATCCCAAAATGAAACCTGGCCTCATAGGTATTGTTTTTAATTTTAGAAGTTGGTTACTATGGTGGTTAATTAGTGAAACACATTCAAATGAGGCTGTAGATATTCCTTAAGGACATAACCACTACACAACTGAAAGAGAAAAACTCAAAAAGCTATAAGACAGTTAGAAAGATCTTAACAGAAGCAACAAAACAAAGTTTCACCTGTTCATTACACTAACCTTTTGCTGATACTCAATACCAGAGAAATTTCGCTTCTATCTTGATTCTAAGTTTTTATTTAACTAACTCATCCCAGTTTATTTTCTTTGGACTGCAGGGACAGTTGTGTGATTGCTTTGAGTTTGCGGGCATTAAACATTTGCAATTCTAATGGCCTAAACATATTCAGTTGTGAGATTTCTTATCAAACTCTCCTGATTTAGAAGCTCCACACAACTAAAACCTTGATACTGCTAGAAGAAACGTTTCTCCCTTCTGAACAGAGACCTTGAATCTTTTGTTCTAAAAATCAAAACTAAACCAACAGCTTAAACTGAGTAGTATCAATATTACATCCATTAACACTACACTTCTGTCAGGTACTTGACTGCAGTCACATGCTTTCTTTGAATTGATACACTTGGGTCACTGTTCCAAATTGTTTTGACCTGGTTAAAAAAAAAAATTATCTTCACAGAACAGAGTCTGCCTCTATTTTAAAACCAAAATCCTAAAATATAATATTTATAAAACATACCTTTCATTACACACTACAAACACATAAAATAGTCTTTTCCTAATTACCTTACAAGAGTCATTATCACTTTACAAATTTATCCTCATAATCTGTTTTGCTAAATTTGAAATAATATCCACCATCTCAAGTATTTCCACAGATAATTTCAAGTAGCTTGTGAAGTTTCATCCAGATGATGTGTGAGGTGTGATGAATAAAGCGACAATAATTAATAACATTCTAAGATGGCTAGTGCCACGCAGAATTGTTTCTTAGGGAACTGCAATTAATTCTGGGGAAATGGGAGGCTTTACCAAATACACAGCATTTGGCAGGAATGGTAGGAATACACTAGTATCCTTTCAAATAGGTTATACAATGCAGAAATCAAATTGAATTAGTAATACTAGAATAGAAATAGTCTGGGTTTAATACAGGAAAAAAAATGTTGTAATTTTGAAAGCAATTAAACTAATTCTACAAAAGTAGTGGCTAGTAAATAAATCAGTCCTTAACACTTCCCAAATCTTGCACATTTAACTTATAGTTCAGATGTATGATAAAATACAATCTTCAAGATTCTTTAAAACACAAATATTTCAGTGGTTTTTAATTCGTACTTTGTATTTATGAACAATGCATAGCCATAATAATACCTATCCTAAATATTTATACCTCAACTTGTCTTTTCCTTTGTTCATCAGCATTCTCCAGAGCTTGAGTATGAACAATTGGCTCCCGAACATCTGATATTATCTCTGCAACCTGTGGTAACAAATCAAATAATTAAAACTGAACAATTGCTCCACAGTCAAATTCAATTCCGAGTGCATACTTCTACATTTCTGTAATTGACAGGGCTGGCATCTACCAGTGACAGCTGCTAAACGATTATTTGCAAGTTCACAAAAGAAACCTGAGATTGCACTCTCTAAATTTCTATCTTTCCCAGTATGCTAATTTATTTCACACGCAAGGTATTATTCATGTATTTTCTGTTAAATTTTATTTCCATCTTTTGTGTTTATGAAAGTCCACTTTAGTAAGCCATTAAATTCTCAATTTCTCTCACAAGAGGTACACTGGTCTTCTACTTGTCTGCTCTTGATTGGAAAATTTTCAGTTTCTGTTGTAACAATGCCAGGCACACTATACAAAATGTTTTCTAATGCATTCCCAAAATTTTGTCATCACAACTGTAGCAGGAAACTGGAGCTGTGGTGTTCATGCAAGCATTGAGCATTGACTGTCATCTAGATGCCTGGGATACTATTTTACAAAGGGAGCAATGGAATGCAAACTGTTATGTCATTGACATGACAAAAAAACAACATTCCATTGTACATCAGCTAACACTCTTTTGTCTCACTATACTACCCGTCAAAATCATTGCAACATCTATGGCTGAATAAAGCAACTCGTACAAATAAATCTGCTCTAACTGTATTTTTCACTGGTTTAAATTTGGTTCTACTTTCCAGTGATTACAAAAAAACTAGATTTCTTTTTAAAAAAAAACAAAAAGAAATTTGTACACTCATTAAGTTGTTTCTTAGGTGTACTTACTATACTGCAATTTCATAATACCTGCAGATAAATACAGTGACAGTTATGATGTTGCAATAGGTTATAGGTCAGATTGGAGAACATTTCCTCAACAGTTGGCTATCGGAATGGCTCACTGAAAAGGGCCCTAAAACTACCATTTTTTCCCCCTCAGTTTCATGCATACATTACACTTTGAATTACTAACAGGCAATTGTCCTACAGGAAGCTAGACATCAATTTTTTGTCACAGCTGCATGGTCACTGGTCAATGCACATTCTGGTGGCCAAAACGAGGTTAATGCGAGTTTGTAGGTAAAAGGCGTTCCTCGTCCACACTGCAGTAGGCTGAGTATTGATGAGCTTAGATAACTAGTTAAGCTTATAACTCCTCCATGGGCCTCCATCACCCCTATTGAGAACAAGCGGCGGTTTGGGCAATAATCAGAAAATATGCAACCATGTATCCTGTCATGGTTGGGTAAAATGCTCTAATTTTTTGCATACAATGTTCTGTACACTGTAGGATTCTGCACTGAACACCTCATTTCGCTATAGATGAAGAACAGTTGTAGCCTAAAAGTGGACTTTCAAAGTACAGACTCAGGAACCACATATTTGGAGCTAGACAGTATGGAGCAGAGGTATTAACAGTGTTGCAGATCTAACAAGGCTGCCTTCAATTGAT